GCAGTGGAGTTAGGGTACAGTCCATTTTAAAAAATAATTTTATGAATTGCGGATTTTCCAGTCAATTAATCGATTTGTTTGCTAAGAAGAACTTAGAATCACCGTGTTTATATTTTAAAAAATACAATAAAATGTAAGGAGATCTATTGTCACCTTTAACGTGGTTTAAAATGTAATAAATGATTGTGGAGGGGGGCTTTTTGCGCATACAATTTATTGTATCTTCTATTTCTCCGTATTTTTTTATTACTATTATTAACAGACCTGGGCCGGATGCCAAACTCGTGCTCGTTTACTCGACTTATACTGCAGAATAAGCTCTCGGTAATTTCAAAGTTGACTTGCTTTACAACAATTAAAACTGGTTGGAACAACTGTTTTTCAGCAAACTTAGGTCTTCATCAACACCAAACTTACTATTTGAAAAGTTCTGATTTGATAGCAATGATAGCCACCAATTAAATTAAATTAAATGTTGAATGTTAGAACCTAAAAAAGACAACTAAAAAGGCAAGAGTATTCTTGTTTATAATGTTTAGCACGTTGAACTAGAACAGCTTTTAATTGTTGATCGGATCAATAATCACCATGCCTTTTCAGCAAATAGCTTTGAATTTCATAGCAACTATCTATAATAGCAGGGAAAATATGTGTTAATTCGGTAAAAGCATTCTTTCTTTAACCTCTCATTTGAATATATAAATAGATCCAGTAATAGGACTTTTCACACACAAAGTAAAATGCAAGTGGCAACAAAAGATCATGGGGTGTTTCAAACATCGGTCATAAACAAAATATCGTTGTGATAGATGAATTTTGTATCCGATTAGCACAGCGGGAAGTCATTAAAAAAGACATGATACAAAATTAGATGGGATTTTTTGGCACGTCCCTAATATACACGAGGACAAGTGTAGTTCCTGTTTTGAAGGATAATCCATTGTGAAATCAACCTCCAATACGTATAAAACTAATCCTATAAAAGACCAAAAGGAAATAGAAGTATCAACATGCTGATGTTCATTGTTAAAAATTACCGAAACAACAAGAAAAGTTATATATTAATTCGTCGTTTCCGATAAACCTGACTTGCCCATCCTAACTATTTTCGACTATAAACAACAATCACAGACCACCAGACCTAAACAAGAAATCTCATAGAACATCCAAAAACTGATATTTCCCTAGTAAAATAGTAAATTAATATATTAAAGTTCGCCCTTTAATATAAAAAGAAAATAGATTGTTTTGTTTAAAATTTGGAGTAGGGGGAAACTTTTTGGGTGAGAGATTTTAACACTTAACCTAAGCGTTTATTAAAACATCCACGACTAAACCACAATCCCTACTACCTAAAAATAAAAATTGAATTAAAAATGTAAGAATGGGCAAAAGGAAAAAATATGTTACTTAGTGTGTGTATATAATTTATAAGCGTGAATGAAGTAGCTTCTTCGGTTGAGTATTCTAGGGCAGTGTTAATGTAATTTATTAAAGTGGATGAAGATGAAGGAGCTTCTTCTTAAATTATTCCAAGGAATATCGAGTTTTCTAGAGCACTGTAAATGTAATTTATTAGCGTGAATGAAGGAGCTTCTCCAATAACCGCGAGAAACTAGTACTCTGGGGCAATGCGAATGTAATTTATTAGCGAGAATGAAGGAGTTACTTCCACAATCTGAAGGTCTGACTGACCAACACAGCAGGATAGGCAGACCAAAATGATCTCTAAAGGCTAAATTACTAGAATAGAGCTACTTCCTCACCCTTCAGACCACAGAAAGAAATCTCAAGTTTTATAATTTCTTGGGTTTTATCTATGTTTCTCTTGTGTGTTTTGCATTTTCGGGGTCAATTTGGATTTGTACACTCGGAAGGAACATTACCAAAAAGTACTCGATATTTCTTGGGATGATTGAGGAAGTAGCCCCTTAATTCACGCTAATAAATTACATTCGCACAGCCCCAGTGAACTCGGTATTCCTTGGAGGGATTGTGGAAGAATTCCCTCTAGGTACGGTCATAAATTACATTCATACCTCAGATTTCAATAGCACTGCTCCAGAGTACTCTTCATTTCTCAGGGTGATTGGGGAAGTAGCTCCTTCACTCACGCTAATAAATTAAACTTAGTCCAATAAATTAACAAACACTATATACATTTAAAAATCCCTTTATCTGAAGTTGCCAATATACCTTTTCCCTTTTCGACCCTTCCGCCGTGGATGAGGGTCTCGTGTTTCTTAACCTGCCACAGTTTGGCAGGGTTATTCCTATTGGTTTTATCAAATACATAAATGAACCACTGTCCCGAGGAATATCAAGTAATCTGGAATGAGTGCTGGCGTCTGGAGAGTAAATGTAAGTTATTAGCGAGAATGGAATGGGTTCAACTCCGACCCAAGGAATATCGAGTACAAATGTGATCAGACTTCTAGGTTATATATGTAGTATATGTTTTGTGACTTTTCTGCAGTTGACAACCTGAAGTACAACGAGAACCTAGCATTTTAAGATATCGACATAGTATACGTATAAAATTCAATTAATTAAGTTGAGATAAACGATATTAATTGGTCAAGCGGACCACGAAAAATAGTGAATACATATAAAAGCAGAGAGTCAGTAACCTGATCAAGACGTGAATGGCGCAGTTTAAAACAAAATCCGCGTGAAAGACCAGAAAAAGAAGGAAAACACGCAGATGGTCGGCGATGACCTCAGCTATTTGTCTGCCCATATACTTCCCACATTATATATAATAAAACCAATATGATTATTGGTTGAAAATACCATGTGTATCAGGTTAGATGCAAAGATAATGTCAAAATACTCAACTCAGGTTGTTAGAACAAGTGAATTCTATTCATAATTTCCAAAAATTGATTTTTTTTTTCAACATGACTTCCGGCGTAGGGTCACTCTGAGGCAGCACGTAAACTTATTGACCAGGCTAATTAATAAATAAAAGCCCAATCGAAACATCGTTACTCGTTTATTGCCAGTTTGAAACGGCCCAAACTATTTGTTTTGTAACAATGCAGTTATTTGTTTTTAGTGTTTTTCCTCTGTCTAGAACATGGATATCCCATGCCAGATATCGCGGCGACAATAAAGACCGAAATACCTCAGAGGTGAAATCCTGGGACGAATGGGTCCTTTGGCCTATTTTTTTCTCCCTTCTAAGGCGACGTATTTAGCACCGCCGGGCCGGAAAATTGTAGCTATCGTTATAGTCTCTAAGGATTTTTTTAAAATGAGTTTCAGGGCAACGTTTATAATTTTAGTATCTTTTGCACGGTGGTTTAAAGAAAGCTTAAGTTCTTAATTCGTTCCATGGGAAAACAGCCCATTTGTCAAACTTCCAATGTAAACATTATAAACAAAACACAATATGATGGAAATAGCTTCATATTACTGGGATAACTCTCAGTTTGAATGATATTACAAGGGTGTTATTACAAACATGTCAGTCTATAAAGAACACTTTTCTACCTATAAAACCAGAATAATGTGAAACAAAGTACATATTAATGGGATCTAACATTATTCAAGGAACAATAGTCAAACCATAAAAGATGTTGACAGTCTGCCAACATTTCACGCCTTCATAGAAAGAAAGTAGTAAATAAACTCAATTAAAATATAAGCAGTAATTAATTGTGTGAGAAAACTGTTTTGAACCCTAAATGAGTTGGATGGAGATGAAATACCACTTATAAAAAGAAACAATCATAATTTAATTGTGAAGACTGGATGCCGAGTCCATGTGTATACTTAACCTAGCTAAGTTTTATTATTGCGTTTGTTAAGAGAATGTAAGTTATGGTTTGACAATTATATCAATAATAATTATCCAATTTGTCTTTGTTCATTTTATTAAGTCGAATTGTCGTTTTGGAGATTCGTCAGCCTCAAAGGGTTGCAAATTTTTCTCCCTTAATTGGACCTTCTTTGATCTCACTCGTTACATAATTTATCATCGTTGCAATGTTTAATTATACGTTTATTTAAATTTTTATTTGAAACACTGTCTAAGATTGAAACTTTTATATAACTTTTATTTATTATTCTTATGCATCTGAGGTCTTGGTTGAGATGAAAAAGTGTCACAAGCGAAGCACTAACATTTTCATTTCAACCAAGACCTTACATAAAAAGAATAATTAACATGGTCAATTATGACTGCTAAATATGTATGGACTTGGTGAAATATGATTATTCCAGGCGAGACTTACATCGCTGAAAGCATAGTTTGTGCAATCGTCAATTACGATCACAAGGGGCTTAAAAAAGCAGCTTGATCGTCTGTGAATCAGTTTAAAAATTTATTTGTTGTACAAATGTTACATTGTTCTTAAAACATCAATTGATTGACATATTACTTCTTTTTCATAGTTAAAAATAATAATAATGCAATAAAACTATATTCAGCCAAACGAGTAAAATAAAAACATTATTTGCGTTTAATTGGATTTAAATGGAGAAATGTTAAACGTTTATAAAGATTAAATAATCGACGTTTTGTGCATTAATTCTGCACATTGCCAAAAATCTGCTAAATTTTTTTAAAAAGTGATAAGCAGAAGGGGTGTGCGATTTACATAGCTTATTTTCCTGCTGGCGTTCGACTGACCCAACTATTTTGGTGATAATTAATTTTCAAGACAAAGGGAAGAGCAAAGACTTCCCGTTGGGGCTAAAAGACGCATAGGTTCTATTATTGGAACAGTTTACACAGCAGCTAACATTTCACGGGGATGCCAAAAAAGCTATTTCTTTTAAATTGTTTTTTATTTATTTTTATTTTTGAGAAGGATAAGGTCGAAAGTGAAAAGAAGCGGGATTAATAAGTTAAGTACGTTTTAAGAGGGGAAAATTTTAAATACAACCAGAAGGCCATGTCTGAACCACTTCCCAGGGTTTAAATTTAGCCAGCCCGAACTATGTCATTCTCCTGATTAGCCTTGTTCCATAAAACAAGACATTGGTATACTCACTTTTGGTTCTGCCTCAGCTGAAGGAACCGTACAACCCTTCGTCGACACCGGCCATCTCTATGACAATTTTCTTTCTTATAAAAAAATTAACTGTTTCGTTTAAAAAAGAAGAAACCTAAAAACAAAAAGTAACTCCCACTAAAATCACTTGGTGGATGCACAGAAAATCACTAGGGTAGGACAGACTGACTCATTAGGCACACGGGCATCTGAAAGATGCCAGGATTAAACGATGGAAATTACACGGGGAAATGGAGAGAATGCTAGGAACGGACTGACGGAGTGGAAGCCGTTCACTTGGTGGCCACGCGCCAAGTGCCATGGTTCGAGCCACCTCACGAAGAGACCGCCACGCACCATTCAACGACAAGCCACCCTCAAACTTCAAAGACAGCCACCCTCTTGTAACTACAAGAAGAAAGAAACAAAATTAAATTATATAAAGAAAATTGCAGAAATATTCGTTATCAAGAGCTAGAATTAAAGATGGTAAACGTAGTAAGTTCGAAGCGCAAATATTGGGAAAAAGCATCGTGAATATACTTGATTTTTGGAACGATTTGGCAATATTTTAATTGCTATAATGATAATCAGTTCTCCGAGTTGATTTACTTCAATGGAAAGTAATTTGACGCCTGAGACGTGTGATGAACAAAGATACTTGTTGTTCAGTCGCACAGTCGAGTCCGACTCTTTGCGACCCCATGGACCAAGTCCCGCCAGGCCCTCCTGTCTTCTGCTGTCCTCTGAAGTTGACTCAATTTCATGTTCCTTGCATCTCTGACACTGTCTAACCAACTCATCCTTTGCCGTCCCCGTCTTCTTTGACCTTCAATTTTTCCCAGCATCAGGTTCTTCTTCAGTGATTACTCCCTTCTCCAAAGTATTTGAGCTTCGGTTTCATTATCTTCCATGGAACAGTCAGGGTTGATTTCTTTTAGGATTGACTGGACTCTCAAGAGTCTTCTCCAGCACGATAGTTCAAATGATTCTATTCTTCGGCGCTCGGCCGTCTTTATAGTCGCTGACTACTGGGAATACCATTGCTTTGACCATGCGGACTTTTATTGGCAGGGAGATGTCTATACTTTTTATCATGCTGTTTAGGTTCGGCATCGTTTTCCTCCCGAGGAGAAGGCGTCTTTTAATTTCATGGCTGCTGTAACAGTCTGCGGTGATCTGAGATCCCAGGAACGTGAATTCTGTCACTACTTCTACGACTTCCCCTTCTATTTGCAAGGAGTGATGGGGCCGGTTGCCATGAGTTGTTTTGGTGTTGAGCTTCAAGTCCACTTTTACACTGAGCAAGAGGCTCTTTAGGTCCTCTTCACATTCTGCCATTAGAGTGGTATCGTATGTATATCTGAGATTGTTGATCTTTTCTCCAGCAATCTTAATTCCCGCTTGTGATTAAAGATACTTAGCAGAGAGTAAATACATGAGGCACGCAAAGTGAATGAGAGTAAGGAGAAAAGAAACCGATCGCTGAGCAAAGTTACAGTGCACTGAGAGTGGATCAAAGAGTATAGACGAAAGAATAAATATATGCTCAAAAGCGATTGGAAGTGCAAGCAAGAGCGGCGAGCAAGATATGGGCGTACAAAAGTGGATTGACAACGAAGCGAAGAAAACGATCGTTGGGCAAAAATACAGTGCATTCACAGAGTGGAGCAACGTGTATGGGAGTGCGGAACAAAAACATCGAGCATTGATTCTGTTCTCGTACAGTGGAGTAACGAGTAACGAGCAAAAAGGGGTCGTTATGGTGTGTTTAACCGGTGTTCTTTCCGTTGGTGGTGTTCAAGTACAGTCACAGACATTTGCCGAAGCAGTGAACGAACCAAGAATGACGTTTGTTGCAGCTAAGTTTGATGGCATTTTGGGACTTGGATACGACCCAATTTCCGTGGAATAAGTTGTGCCTCCATTTTACAGCATCACAAAAAAGGACTCGACCGGGCAGTTTTCTCTTTCTGACTCGACAGGTACCTTCAGCTTCTCCGATCCAGCTAAATATATGGGCAACATTATCTATGTACCAATAACCAAACCAAGGATACTGGCAGCTTGTGATGGACAGATATGAAGTTGGTAGGCAAGGTTTCTGTACAAATGGATGTCAAGCTATTACTGGCACAACTTGAATCCCTTTGGAAGAAGTCAAGAGTTTAAACAAACTTATCGGTGTAACAGCTATGGCCAGAGGGGATATGCTATTTTCTGCAGTTTGATCCATCGACTTCCAAAAATTAATTTTGTATTAGGAGGAAAATCATTTGTATTAGAAGATATGGATTACATTTTAAAAGTATCTGCTATGGGTAAACAGTTTGCTTGTCAGGATTTATGGGAAATGGGACCGCTTGGACCATTGTGGATTCTTAGCGTTTTTATTGGTAGATTTTTACACTGAATTTGATATGGAAATAACCGAGTTGGTTTTGGTTTATCTAATGAATAATCACGTTTTTATTAATTTTAAAGTATTGCATGTCTTTTAAGAAAAACAATTTTGTATACTCAATTTTTAATATATTTAGATTGTATAACTAAACTATCAAAATAAAACTTATGTTAATTTGTTTCATACTCAATGGATAGTTAGGCTCAAAAATCTTATAAAGGAGGCCTTAATCTTATAAAGGATAATATCAAATTTCAAAATTTTACATAGTGTAATTTTTTGTTATGATAAATTGAGAAAATAATGAAGATTGGTTAAAAGTAAAAAGTATCGAGCAATGAGCAAGGTACGGGCGTACAAAAGTGTACTGACAGGTACGAAGTGAAAAAAACGATCGTTGAGCAAAGATGTAGTGCACTCAGAGTGGATCCACGAATAAGGACTAAGTTCAAAGATATGGTGCTCACAGAGTGGAGCAACTTGTATGGGAGTGCGGAACAAAAACATCGAGCATTGAGATTCGGCGCTCGCAGAGTGGATTAAAGAGTATAGAGCAAAAAGACAGCAATGAGCGAAGATAGGGGGGTATACAAAAGTGGATTGAAAAGTTCGCAGCATTCAGGCCGAGTAAAGAGCAAAAATACTGAAAAAAAGCTGAAGATATGGTCACTCAGAGTGGATCAGCGAGTAAGGACTAAAGTTCAAATTTAAGGAGCTCACATAATGTAGAAACGTGTGGAAGTACGGAACCATAAGACCGAGCATTGATCGAAGATTCGGCGGCTATGAAGCACGAACAAAGCGCGAGTATAAAGCAAAACCAAAGATATGCGCGCAAAGTGGAGCAACGAGCATCGAGCAAAAAAGACCAAGCAATGAGCAAGCATACGATTCTTGTAGAGTGGAACGACGAATATCGAAGTATAAAACAAAGAAACTGCGAACACAGAACAAAAATTCAGTCGGTGCGTGAAGAATGGAGCTAAAAAGCGATTACTCGGTAAATTTTATCATTTAGTTTGGTAAATTAGACGTTACTAGTCATTTTATCCACGCTGGGATGGTCTGACTGCCGTGTTTGGGTTTGTCGTCATCTTCAGTGGTGGATCTTTCAAAATAACACTACACTGATGATGGCGAGAAGTCTAATCGTGTCTGACAGGCCAAAATATTGTGTTGAAGGACCAAATTTCAGGTTCAAATGGGATCATCATTGAATACACACATGTTATGTAAATGTTTTCTCAGAAGAAGTATATAGATCTATCATTCCTCTGAGTTTAGCCATTTCATTGTGCTAATCTTGGTGAGGGTTGTTTTAAGATAATCTTATCTAGTACCTCTATTGTTTATCCACTTCTCCTCTTCTCTTTTTGGATCCATTCTGTGATGGCGGATTCTATGTTTTTTTTTGTTATCCCAAGAATAGGTTCAAGGAATATGTGGTTTTGAAGATCTTCCTCTGGTCAGTGTGTTTGCCTTTTCATTACCCAAAATTCCTTTGTGTTCTGGTACCCAAGGTACCCCACCAGATTGTTGTGCTTCCCCAGATTTTGGAGATTTTAGATGGATTTGCTGTGTTTTGATGTGATTTTTTATATGCTAATGCTTTAATAGCTGTTTAGTTATCCAATCTTATGAGTATTTTTTGTCAATATAACCTCTTTTTTTAAGATTTTCTAAGGTACAAATGTTGATGACATGTATTTCATCTTCAAAGACCAAGATGTACTTCCCTAGTGAGTTTGATTGTTCAGATTTTGGGATGTACAGAAACCGCTTCATCCAGTTCTTTTCGGGGCCATCTGTATACCACATTATTGTACCTGATTTTCCCTGAATTCTTCTTCTACTTCGCAGTCTGTTGAGACTTTATAGGATGTTGTGACAAGTGTTTCTGGGATCATGTAGTCAGTCCCTGATTCTGGGAATGGTGTCTGATTTTATTAATTGTTGTTGTGAGCCCAAAATTTTTAATCGTCACACAATTTGATTGTTTTTGATTAAATGAGCTTTTCTTCACTTCTCCTTATATAAATATTTCAATGGAGGTAGGTTTAGCAGTGTTTCTAGTGCGTTTTCATTGCCCCTGTAATACATAGGTTTACCAGTCATTGTATGTTGCCTAAAGATCTATCAAATAAATCTTAGCATTAAATTCCTTGTGTGTGTTTTCAATAAAAGCAAAGAACTACTTCTGGCAGCCAAAAGAAATTTTGAGCAAAAAATAAGGACTGAAACCAAAATAATTCTGATCTGATCAGATCAAATTTTTTTTTTTTATTAGACCAAATAATCTAATTGCCATTTTTGATCCTTAGGGATACAATTATGTAAAAAATACTTTCTTCAATTTTATACTCTTGTTTAATTTCCTTTAAATCAACATAAGCCACAAAGAAGAATTTTTTCAATTTTTTATTACCTACATTTATCAACTTTTATAATTATTTTGTTTGCCTATATAATCAGATATAATTACAAGATATGGGCAAAGGTAAATAAATAAGCCAGAAATAAGATGGGAGCACTAGCACTACTTTATTGATCGATACAACTTCTCTTTCAATACTGAGTAATTTTGTACACTAATGACAAACAAGAATTACATAAAGCTTATGATTTGGTATGAACAGCATTTTATAAACTTAGGTGTAAACAATACAAGTTTAGTTGTAAAATCCAAATCTTGTTGGTTGAATTAATCGTTGACGATATTTTCTCAAGCACCTTGTCAATATGGTCACACAACCTCTGAAGAAGTAGTATACAAGTTCCATTAGACTTATTACACTGCATCCCAGAAATAAATTACCTGTTCCGCCAATGCTCACTAAAACAAGAAATTTTTAAGATAGTAAAATTTGATTAGATTAGATTATTACAATTTAATATATAGTACACATAAATGGTTAGGTCACTATATAAATGTTAGTTTCATTAAATAAAATAATTAGAGAAGAATTTATTAATTTTGAGAGATTTAGTTCAAGCTAATGTGGTGGTAATAAGACTAATTTTAGATATGATACAGCTGCAACTATAATAAAATAAAACAAGAGGCAAATTAACAAAGCAAAATATCTGGAAAAAAAATAGGCAAACTAAAAAGGTAAAAAGGTAAGGTATACAAAAGCAGAAGACAGGAAAATTAGGTTTTATTTCAAATGATCCACTTATAAAAGGCACAAAGAAACATGAGAAAAAGGCTAGGAAAAGGGGATAGCTATCACATAGATAAAAACTTACTAAAAGAAAGGATAGTAAATTAGAAAAATTAAAAATAAAGTGTAGGCAACAAAATGATATTAAAAATTACACAATCATAAAATTTTTTTTTAAAACAAGGGTTCACTAAAGCAAAGATCACATTAGTAAGTATTCTAATAGACTCTAACCACAAGAGCTATTGTGCCACGAGCAGCGGTGAATTGAATCCCACTTATGACACTAACTTTTTCATCTGAACCAAGACCTTAGATTAAAAGTATAACTAATTTGTATATCAAGTTTGAATGCAGCTGACCTTTACCTTACAGTATGAGCAACGTGTCAACGCTTCAACCGTTGTGGCCACAGGTGCCCCACTAGTACTACATTTAAGGAATAAGCCAGAAGGCTGCAGTGCGTGGGAAGCACATACCACCTTACCTAGTTTCATCATCATCATTACTACATTTAAATAACATTGACAGATTTGTACTTGGTTTTGATAGTTTCAAAACTTTTGAATCCAAAGATGCAAGAATTAAGCCTGTTGACTTACCCTAGCTTAACCAATAATTTGCTTGAAAGATTGATACAATTTTTCTTTTTAATATACTTTATGTTTACCTATTAGCTCTTGCTGGCTAAAGCTTATTTTTCTAAGATAATTCACTGCTCCCAAATTTGAGAAATGCACGTCCAACAATCCATGCTGAATTTCTCCATCGAATACACTCAGATTGCTGCGTTTAATTAACGAGTTGTACATCGTGCCATAGCATGGTACAGGGCATGAGCAATCTGTGTTATTTCTCATGTTTAAAATTCTGTTGCTGTATACCAAATCGGCCATAACTCTTATTTCAGCTTAAACAAAACAAGTAATGTTATTTGCATTGTGATGCGTTTGCAATGTTGATATTCATTGTATTTTACCTGACAAATTTGCCAGGCAGTTCAATTTTTCAAGATTACACTCTGGTAATCCACTTGTAACATCTAAAAATGAACAAAAAATCAAATTGACAATATCCATTTTCAGATTTTAAAACCTAAATTTACCATTGAAAAAGTATGGCTGGCAATTACAATTTTTGCTTATAAAATTGTGTCTACATTCAATAAGGCAATTGGTTTGGCTATAGAAATTGTTGAATTTTAATGCCTTTTCCTGAGGTAAAACACACTCCCTTTTTGCTGAAGAATAGCTGATTAATTTAGAAGAGCATTCAATTATAATCGGTGTGACCTATAAAAGGTTTAATTATTTTTTGTTTTGGTTGATAATTTATAGACTTTTATTACTTCAATCTCAAGCATTCTCCCTGATTTTCTTTTTAACACAACACCACTGCCAGCTTCTGGAAGTTCATAAGTTGGGCTAATCAAAACCTATAAAATCATGCAAAAATTAGTATTAATGGTGGCATTTATACATTTGAATTGTTTTTCTGGCAATACTGTTTTAGCATTTTTCATTATTCTAAAATTAAATCAACCACATTTTCAGTAATTTGCAGGCAAAAAATATGTAAATTACATTTATCCCCCTGGAAAATCCATTTAGAAGAAGTTGATCATCTTTTTTTAATACCACAGTAAGCCCAGAGTATCTTCCTGAAGAAGTCGTTTGCCTAGGTGTACAAGCTGGATTTTGATCATTGAGTAATAATGACTGCATGAAAAAATCCCTAATATAACTGAAAAAGGGGTTAATTTTGTATAATATTGTTGTTAGCTGATTTTTTAAAATTAATCACCATTCCTTTTTTGTCTCGGCAGTCAAAGAGTTGAATGAATAGCAAAATCCCTCTTCTGTTCTTTGCAGGGAAAATATTTCACAACAGTTTTTTCTCTCGCCATTCCAATAGCACATTTCAAATAAGTCAGTACAAAGTGGCAAAGACTATCCTCCCCCCAAAAGAAAAAAATTGGGTGTAATACAGTGTAATATTTTTTATATAACATAATGAACCCCACCTCCAGCATGAAATCAGATACATTCATTTGATCAAAGTATGGCAAATAATGTTTAATATTTGCTAGTTTGTCTTTCATATAGAAAAATGAAGGATAGCGCATTAATGAAAGTAGACTTATTGCACCCCTTAAAACCTTATTATTTTCTTCTTCAGTACTGTTGAAATACCTGTTTAAGACAGACTTTCAGTTTTTTCCAAAACAAACTGATATTAAAAATAAAACCTTTTTAAGTATGGAAATCCAACTGATTCCTCAATCGGGTGTGTTGGGCATAGAGTAACAGCTGGAAATGGGAATTTAGCTAAAGGGTAATGAATATCCTTTATAATTGTCTCCACTGGCATTTTTTCAAATCTAGACCAAAGTGTTATTCCCAGGGTGGCGGCAAAAAATATAAAAGCCGTCACTCCAATAAGCCAGAAAATTCTATAAACACAGAAACCATGACAAATAAGGAGAAATTCAAATTCCAAAAATTCATTAAAGTACCTCTCATACACCGTGAAATCCTTCCTTCCAACATATTTAACGCAATGTACAGTGCTAATGTCAGTATAGTTTTGAATAAGTTTGAACAGCATTGTTGCATCAGGTTAAAAACGAGTCAAATATAGGACCGCATGAAGAAGCCAACATTGATACTTGAATATATTGATTCCTTCTTTATTTACATCATTATTATTTTCTCGTAATGATATATTCCAACATGTAATCAACTTATCGCCACTGTCTGATGGAAATATAAATATAAATATTTATCAAAAACATTTTCATAATTGGGCAACACCCATTTACAGTGAATAGAAAAATATAAACCAAAAAACAAAACGGTTACAAAATATAATGCAAGAAATAATAATTAATAAATTTGTAAAATATTTTTATATTATCATAGTTGAATATGAATGAAGAATAAAAGTAGGTATAACGGAAAAGAATAAAAGAAAGAAGACAAAGAGAATAGCAATAAGATTATGTTGGGGTAGTTAGATGAAATCAACGATTGTTTGTAAAAAATTTGAAAGCTTCATGCCTGAAAGACAGAAGAGGATGTGGCGACCTAATATGCCGCAGAAAGGAATTTCACAGATGTGCCCCAGCAACTCTAAATGAATCACTCATATATTTGGATCAATGATGCAAGTTTTAAAAAAAATTTAAACTAAGGATAGAATTAAAACTGAACTAAAACTTAGTTAAGAGAATTACCATTTTTTTATGCTTTCCATTATGATTACCATAGTTTTTGATGATTCCACAATCACTAGTTCAGAGAATTAGCGTTTTTTGATGGTTACCATTATTATTATCATATTTCTTGCAAATTTAAGGATATTTTTATTGAAATGAGACTAAACATCTTCGTTACCAAAGAAATGCATAATGAATGGAATAAAGTGGAAATTTGAAGATTCCACAACTCATTAGTTAAGACAATTGCCATTTTTGATGTTTTCCATTATTATTACTATATTTTCTGTAATTTTTAGGATGTTGTTATTGACATGAGACTAAACAATTAGTTTGTAACAAAATAAATGCATGACGAATTGAATGAAGTTGAAATTTGTTGATTCCACAACTCATTAATTATGAGAATTACACTTTTTTGATGTTTACCATTATTTACCATATTTTCTGTTATTTCTAGGATACTTTTATTAAGCTTAGAGTAAACAACTCGTTTGTTAACAAATTAATGCTTGACGAAGGGAATAAAGTGGAAATTTGAAGATTCCACAACTCGTTAGTTAAGAAAATTGCCATTTTATGATGCTTTCCATTATTATTACCATATTTTTGTAATTTTTAGGATATTGTTATTGATGTGAGGCTAAACAATTAGTTTGTAAGAAAATAAATGTATGACGGATGGAATAAAGTTGAAATTTGAAGATTCCATAACATGTTAGGAGAATTATCATTTTTTGATGCTTTCCATCATGATTACTATATTTTTTGTAATTTTTAGGATATTGTTATTGATGTGAGACTAAACAAATAGTTTGTAACAAAAGAAATGCATAACGAATGAAATGAAGTTGAAATTTGTTGATTCCACAAATCATTAGTTATGAGAATTACACTTTTTTGGTGTTTACCATTATTTACAATATTTTTTTTATTTCTATGATACTGTTATTAAACTTAGAGTAAACAGCTCATTTGTTAGCAAAGTAAAGCTTAACGAATGGAGCAATGTTGAAATTTGAACATTCCACAACTCGTTAGGAGAATCACCCTTTTTTGAAGCTTTCCATTATGATTACCATATTTTTTGTAATTTTTGGGATATTTTTATTGACCTGAGGCTTAATTAGTTTGCCACAAAAGAAATGCTTAACTAACTTCAACTTGAAATTTGATTATTACAGTCATTAGTTAGAAGAATTACCATTCTTTGATGCTTATCATTATGATTGCTATTTTTTTATTTACCTCTAAGTTACTTTTTTTGAATATTGCATAAACAACTAGTTCGTAACAAAATGCTTGACGAATGGAATAATGTTAAAATTTGAAGATCTATAAATCTTTAATTACAAGAAGTGCCATTTTTTGATGGTGATGTTTTCTTTATACCTATTTCTCTCTTTCATTATATTCAACAATTCTATAATACAAAATTTTTTTTATTAATTATTATTTCTTGCATTACATTGCATAACCTTGTTCTTATTTAATTCCCCCCACTGAATGTAAAGGGGTCTATTGTGATTTTTTTTCAAAATAAATATATTTCTGTTTTTATTTTAATAATTCATCATTTAAATTATTTGTTATTGTATTGTAATTCTAATTCAATTATTTCTTAATTTACTAGTTGTTTTATAACTAATCTCTATATTTGCTCTAAGTATATGTAAATTTGTAACTAGTGTACAATTTTAATAGGGTTTTCTTTTAAAATAAATAAAATAATGAGAACTTAAAAACATATTTTGGTTGCTGACATAACATGTAGCAAACACTTTTTTAGCCAGTATTAAGAATGTGCATATAAATTATAAATATATAATATATTTATTTTTATACTATATTTTAACTATAATTAAATTGTATTAAACTTATTTAATATAAAATAAAGTTTTCTGGAATGAGTTGTCTTTTGACCAATATATGACAGCCATAGACATCATTGACTTTACAGAGGAGTCATTGTGCTGTCGAAAGCCCGCCCAAAACACACAGCGAGGTTTCTTTTGATCACCCCAAAGAAAACCTTGAAACTGAAACTGAGAGGCGAAATCTTGAAAATGACCAAAAAATGACCTTACCGATAAACCGTGGGTTTTAAAAATTATTCAAATTACAATTGAAATTCTTTGAAAAGAGCCAGGATGGGGACAGACACGATCACCTGGCCCCCTGAGTTTGCAGATTTTAAAGTGAGTACACACCGTCTCAGTCTCATTTAGTTTCCAAACTTACTTAATTTTTATTCTAATTTTAGAAATTAGACGCTACATTAAAATGTGGTATCTGTTACGACTACATGACCAATTCAATGATGACCTCCTGCGCTCACAATTGTAAGCAAATCTTTAGTCATTTTTCTATGTCATTAAGTGCAAAATAATCCAAAATAACAACATAAAAATACTCAACATCAGAACCATGTTTATAATACAAACGCAAATTATATTTATGCTTGCTTATATGTTGTTTATTTTTTTATTTGGAGTGGTTTTTTAGGTAGCTGTTATACTGTCCTTCAATTTTAAACTATCCCATCTTCAAAATTTCTGTTTAGTGCTTTTCAATTTATGGTAGACTCTGGGTATTTGTGCTTTTGTTATACATGCTTTCATTCATCGTCAGTTGCCACCCTAGTTGAGTTTTATCGTTTTTAGGCTATACCTGTTGATGTATGTACATATTGCTTTTCAGCATGGAATAAATTTATATATGACGGTGTATCAAATGTAAATGGGTATGATTTTCTTGAACGGGTCGTAGACCTGAAAGTGGTTGATGTGCAGATAGATTGTACTTCTAGGAACAAGGGCGAAATGACCTCAACTTTCAGGACCCTTTAATATCAATAGAAGCCATGAGTGGGAAAGAAGCGTGTGTCCTCATGGAGCAATGGATTTTTTTTATGAGGTTCGCAACAGCACAGGTCATATCAACCCTCGGAGATTAACGTTTACCTTACAGTGCTGAGCTCCGTGTCAACACCTTAACTGTTGCGGCTAATGGATTGTTATTAAATTTTTGTCCAAGGAAGTCAGGAATCCAGCTGAAATTTTGGTCCCATTAAAGGCACATTATGGGCTCAACACCATGTCAAGAACCCATGTTTTTGGATGGCACAAAAATTTTTCTGGAGGGCATGAAAAGGTTGAGAGCCACACTGGTCAAATGGAGTGTTGCCGAGGCCAACATTGAGGTGGTTTTTCTTGTCGATTTTTCTCATAATTGACACACAATTAATGTGCAATGTTATTGTAAATTGTTGGATGCTGTAAAATTGTCATTTCAAAGGAAAAGGAAGACACAGCTGACCAGAAACGTTAGAACATCCACCCTATAGTCCAGAATTGTTACCTTGTGACTTTCATCTTTTTGGAAACACAAGGCCAGCGTTTCAACGCAACAACAACGCTGTGAAGCATTTGTGCTCCAATGACTATGATATGCCCCCATGTGTTTTTATGATTCAATAAAAAAAATCCTAATTCCCAATGGCCTTACCTCCTCCTTCCTCCCTCTAAAATCTGGGGTACCCCAAGGCTCTAGCATCTCTCCTATCCTTTTTTCCATTTATATCAATGATCTGCCCGACTCCATCCAGTCATGTAACTATCACCTATATGCCGATGACTCCCAAATATACATATCCTTCCACCCTTCCGATCTTCACTCGGCCATTCTCAAGATCCAAAAAGACCTAAACTCCATCAACGAATGGGCCCATAAAAATTCCCTAGTCCTCCGTCCAAATCCACCGCCATAATTATCGAGTCGAGGCAACTCCTCAATTCCCTCCCCAGCATCCCACCTCTCATGCTAAATAACCATCCCATCCCCTTCTGCTCTTCGGTTAAAAACCTAGGAGTAGTCTTTGACCAAAACCATTCCAGGCAATCTCACATTTCCCAAATTTCCCGCCATTCCATTGCCTCCCTCAGCCTGTTTCGTCGGTTCTGGCTTCTCTTACCTTTCTCCACCCGCAAACTCCTTGTATCTTCCCTTATACTTCCCTTCTTCGATTATAGCTGTTTGGCATATGGTGGTCTCTTGGAGGGGGAGAACACGCGATTGAAGCGTATTATGAATTGTTGCATAACATTTGTGTACGGCACCCCACGGGGATCCCGGGTGTCGGGGTTGTGTTCCCAACTTTCCTGGCTATTTCCCTCCTTCTGTGCACAGTATTTCCTAGGTTGCTTTCCTTTCCAGTCCATCCACACTCGTCGTCCTCCTTACATCATCCAATCCCTCCATTTCAACTCTTCACATCTCTCTCGTAAGACCTGCTCATCCCCAGTCGACCTTATCCTTCCGCAACATACAATCCATACCTTTGAAAGATCCTTTCTGATCCGAGCTCCTAAACTCTGGAACTCCCTTCCTCTTTCTGTGTCACGCTGCCTCCTTTTCCTCCTTTAAATCCCACCTATATAGTCACCTCCTCTCCCTCCAAGCAGAGGCCTCACGTTAACATTTGTTATTTTTGTTTAATATTCTCGTAATTTTTTCTTCTGTCCTGCCTTATTGGTATACATTGTGCCAAGATTTCTATCTTTTTTTTTATTTACTTCTAACTTCATAGAAGAAACTTCTTTTCTTTCTTTCATGTAAATTATTCTTAGGAATAATTCCCAGAATAAAGTTATTTTTCTTCTTAATTTGATGGGAAAATGTATTTCTAGGGCAGGAGAATATGCGGGAAAATAATATATTGTTGCATGCTTAATAAAATAAAGTTAGATTTTTTTTTAAAAATGAGACATTTATATTTGATATACCCATTTATATATTTTTCATATTGGAAAAAATATGTGTTCATAAGTTTATACATAACATTGATGATAGGCACACACGTACAGAAACTGTATGATTGATATGGGATGGAAGATATGCTTCAAAGCCTGAAATTATCCACGGTTTTTGATATCTGTTTTCAGTGTTATTGAACAGAAGTATTGAACACTTTACACTCACAAACCCTGGTTCAAGGGATGGTTTTGAAGGAAAAGGGCGGGTTAAGATTGCATTATTAATTAAAGTCCTTGGCAATGTTAGGACTGAGCGAATCTTCGATGAAATTTGAGATTGCCTGTAAAAAAAACTTAAATATGTCAATTTGTAGACATAGTTAAGATTGTTTTACCCTGATGATCAAAAGTTTGGCAGTTCTTGTTATCACGGTGATGCTTGGTACATATTCCCCCTGTGTATAACAAGAGTCTATTGCATATGAACTTCATCATTTTGCTAAGTTAGAATGCCCTATCTGCCTCAAAAGTCTTGTAAAATGTATTAAAATATTTGTAGTTTGGACTGGAAAATGTATCTATCTACCACAGAAGTAAAGGTTTCTGATATTTTGGTCTGCCAATCCATACTCTTTTAGTTTGGCAGATATATTTCAGCCTCTTGCCATCATAGGCACATGGGCAGCAGAAATCTTCAAAAAGGTGTAAACCCTCATGAAAAGGGGCGAACGCATGTTGTTGATTATTCGAAAGTTTTTAGAAATGGTTTACATCAAGGATAAACATAGCACCAATTACAGAACAGACACATATAAACTCAGGCACAGCTATGCTAGTATCATCAATCAAATTCAGTATCGATAATATACATTTATCATCATCACATCACACAAAACATATAACATTTTTTTTTTAATCTAAAATTTCTAGCATTGTATAAATTCATTTTTTTTCCACATCCTACATGTATTTGTAAAATTCAAACAATGTTTATAAATCTCAGGCCTTGAAGATGATCTCAATAAAGATCGAAACGTTGGCACGATAAAGAAAATGTTTTTCTAAAACGTACATAACACCAGACTGCATCTCACGATCTCCGAATAATCATTGAATAACAGTCACTAAACACCACACGTCTTTGAGTTAGCCCTCATACATTATACTTGTTTTGATTGCCCAAAATATTACATTTAGTTGTGAAAAGTGAATGGATCCAAATTAGTTTGGATTATTCCTGTGAACTAGTATGAACAAGTCCTCTTAGCCTGTCAAATACTGTAAACAATTAATTATTCTCATCTCATATTTATGGTATGGGCAGCAAAATAATTATCACATGCGAGATGTGTAATAAAATTTGTAGAACAAGGTGTCTGAAAATGAATGAACCTGGACATTCTTATTTTCACATTTATTTTGTAGCATGTATTAAAAATCTATGTATAAAATATTAGGTGCTGTTTATTGAATCGTGTTTTTTTTTTTTTTTAAATCAAAGAACAAGTTTTTGCTCAGCTACCAGTGTTTATAACGTTGTGGGAGCGCATTTATGACGTTGGGGAAAGATAAGTTAATATCTATTTAACATAAAAAAAGTTCTTATATTACAAACAAATAATAGAATCAATAAAATGTTATCAATTACAACTTGATTATAAAGAACTTATTATAACGAAACTAAGGAGGAAAGAGAATATTTTCTTATCACAAAAATTTAGTTTATATAATTAAATATGAAGTTATTTTTCGGTATCCTTTTCACTGGACAAGATTAAAGTATAGAGCAAAGAACCTTGTTGAATGAGCACCACCCTACAATAATTCTTCACAAGCATTTTTACTTTGTCTTTTTTTTTTAAAAGCTTAAAGTGACTGAACAGCAACTCTCTGACCCAGCGTGGCTCCGCCTTAGCCCTTTGCCGTCTTGCTCTTTTGCCTCCTCAATCGTTGGAACGTCCCTGCCTTATTGATTGTTCATGCCGCTTTGGGCGGCCTTTATGAAATGGCTTGTCATAAGAAAGAACCTGCGTGTATCACTATAGAAAGTTCAGACAAATCCTACATTGGAAGATAAGGATTGCAAGCACCATTTCATGCATAAATATTTGTATGAAGATGCTGTTTTGCAGTTTACAGTGCTTGAGTGCTGGGTCTGACCAAAACTGTGAGAATAAGCTGTCCAAAGTGAATGTGTACTGAGTTAACCCTCAGGAAGGCACAGTCCTAACAGGCCCAATTCGGTCAGTTATCTTGATGCGGTGTATAGTGGGGACTGGGGTCCAAGTCGGTGTCTTTTTCCTGGTGTTGGTTCAGTCAGAATATTACACCTCTGAAGCAAAACCCCTCATGCAATATTCTTCAACAACATTCTTATCCCTAAAAACCGACGCTACCTAGGTTCTATCTGGAATCATGTTTGACCTGAAACCGACACACACAAATAAAATGACAGGAACTGAACATATGTTTTGGACTACTCTAAACAAGATAGACTCAAAATTTAACATGCTGACAAAAAGCAAACTATGGACTGGAACTCTGTGGCACTGCTAAACCTACCAATATCCAACGAATTCAGTCCTTCCAATCCTTCCATTCTCCCCGTCTATGTCTCTGATGTCACCCTCCACAACGGTCTCAAAATACCCTTTGCAAATAAAATGCCACCAAACTTTCCAGGTTCCTTGAAAAACTATCCACTTATCCCAATTCATTAGCCTCTCTATATTCCTGTCATACGACTAAAGCGTAGATGGCCCCGGGTATCCTTGCCAACTTCCTTGAGTAAACTTGGTAGAGCTACAAAGGTTAATTCCCATTCTACCTCAAGGCATTTACTGTGTAAAAGTGATTTCTAAATATTACATAAGGTATTGTAATATATATACGGTATTAAAAAAAAATTAATAAAAATCTTCCTTCTTATTTATTTATGTATCTATAATGTAATTTTCAAGTGTCCAGGGTTTTCATTTTATTCAATTGAAGGTGTTTTTCCTATTTTGCAGTTCATTAGATTTTGCTTTTAGTGTTTAACAAAATTGAATTTTTATGTAATATTCACTTATATTTTTAATTTTTGTATTTTTGCATATGATTATATTTTTCCAAGAAAGACAGTATTATTATTGTTATTTTCTTTCTGTTCTTAGTTTGTTCGCTGTGCATACGCAAATTTTTACAGTATAAAAATCAATGCCCTACCTGTTTTCATACAGTGTTTGATGTGCAATTAAGGAATAATAGGCCTTTGGATGAAATCATAATAATATATATAAAATTAAGGGATAAGCTTTTAAGGACATTAAGGATTGCAAGTGTCCCTATTCCGTCTAAGGAAGAGCCCTCGGAGGTGAAAACACCAAAGAGTGAAAAACCCCAGGAAATAGTCACGCCAGTCAAGAATGTTTCTGTTGAACTTTTTAAAAATGAAAAGAAGAAATCCACTCCACCAACAACCAGCAAAGATGACATCATTGTCAATGGAATCAAAATACCAGGGATATTCAACCCACCGAAGGTTTTTCCAAAACCGAGGAAGCCTGGAGAGTTTATCCAGTGCCCTGTGTGCCAAGTGGACGTCCCGACCAAAAACATTAATTTGCACTTGGATTCTTGCCTTGCCATTGACAACAATGCTAAGTACGAATTATTACAATCTACAATGAAAAGATGGTTACAAACTAGATATTTTTAGACCAAAAAAATCCAATGAAAAAAGAGATCCTCTTCCAAAAAGACTGTATCACATGATGCCTGATAAAAGTTTAAAAAATGTGATGAGAATTTATGGTCTGAGTACGCAAGGTGATAGGAAAGTGTTATTAGCACGGATACAAAGGTATTTTGAATTTTATGTCTTATCTTTTTGGCTTTTTGTTGTGTTATTGAATTTTTAGGTTCACTGTGATATACAATGCAGAAAATGATTCTCCCAATCCGAGAACAATTCCGGAGTTAGTTCAACAAGTTGAGAGAGAAGAAAGAGAGGAACGCAAACCAAACACTTTCATGAAGAGTTTTACTGGATCGGTAATAGTGACTGTTAATCGATAATTATTCAGAAATTGTGAGATGCGGTCTGGTGTCATGTAGGTTTCAATTTCTTTAATTCTTTAAAGAAAATGTTTTTCTGAAACCTACATCACACCAGACCACATCTCACGATTTCTGAATAATTTCTCAAATGTCACTGACAATTTTTAACTGATAAAAGTACAAATTGATCGAGGTTTTTTAAAAATTTATTTATTAAATTTAAACGATGAAACATCTTGAGTTATGAAGTTATATATCTTGTAATTAGTAATTTAAAAATTGTAAATTAAACAAAATCAGAACAGGTTTTTAGATTAAAAAACTTAAAATAAATAATATATTGGGTTGTCCGGAAAATAATGCAGGATTTTGGTATTAAACAAAAAAAAAGAAACTAGTTACTTTAAAGCAATGTTCTTTAATCAAAATAATTTCCAACGTGTTGGTAACTTATTAATTCCGTCTGAGTAGAATTCAGAATTTTTAGAATTGATAAAGTCAATAAATGCATTTTCCAGTTCCGTTTGATTTTTGAATATTATGTGTTGTAAGTAGTGGTCCAGGTGTCTAAAAAAATGGTAGTCAGTAGGCGAGAGGTCCGGAGAGTAGGGTGGGTGAGGCAAAGTTTCATAGCCAAGCTCCAATAATTTTTGTGACGTTACACGTGACACATGTGGTCGAGCGTTGTCATGCAACAAAATGGGCCCTTTCCGATTGACCAAAGAGGGCTTCATTACTGCCAATTTCTGATGCATGGTATTAATTTGGTTACAGTATGATTCAGCATTGATGGTTTCGCCAGGATTTAAGAAGCTGTAGTGTATTAAACCAAATGAAGCCCACCATACCGTAACCATTACCTTTTTTTGATGAGTTGGGGGCTTTGGAAAATGTATTGGAGCTTCTCCTTTGTCGAGCCACTGTCCAGAACGTCTAGTGTTATCGTAGAGAATCCACTTTTCGTCACATGTAACAATTCTGGCCAGAAATGGGTCATTTTTGTTTCGACAAAGAAGTGATGCACAAACATCAAAGCGCTGATTTTTTGGCGATCGTTTAATGAGTGTGGAACCCAATTTTCGAGTTTTTTCACTTTTCCAATCGCCTTGAGGTGGTCAGCGACGGTCGTTTTACTGACTTTGAGTTGCTCTGCACCCACCACTGATCGCAGAACATCATCATTAAGAGAGGAAGGCCTTCCACGACCTTCTTCATCTTCAAGGCTGAAATCTCCCTCCCGAAATTTTTTAAACCACCTTTGCACAGTGCACTCATTAACACAACCCTCGCCCCAGACTTGGTTAATGTTTCTAGCCGTTTGGGCTCCGCTTCGGCCGAGTTTAAACTCGTAAAAGAAAATCGTACGAAATTCTCGCTTTGACATTATAAGGATGACTGAATTATTTCCAAGTAGCGGAATGCTACAGAGGTAAACAAACAATATCATTTGGAAGAGGATTAATAAGTGTTGACATTCATACAAATGAGTAATCCTGTAAACGTAAACAGAATATTTTATATAGATTTTTTTTAATGAAAACTTAAAATCCTGCATTATTTTCCGGACAACCCAATATTAATAGGCTTTTTTGAAGGTGGTTAAAAAAATCAATATACTACAATGTTTCAAACTCTCTGTAAAAGGGAAAATGCAGAATAACAAAAACAAAAAGATTTAAATAATATAAAGATTCAAGATATAAATATAATATACTGTATATATTTTTTTACAACCATTTTAATTGTCAAAAAAAAAAAAAATTGTATATTTATTACAGAAAGTTACTGTAAATAGACATGATAAACCTGAAACCATAGAAGAAGCAAATAAAGCTTACCGTATGTAAACATAATCATATTTTCTTGCTTAATTCCAAAAAATTATTTTTTACAATTTTTAGGAGAAGAAAACAAGGATAGTTTTAAGAAACTGATTGAAGCTGTGCGACAAAGGGAGGGAAGGCCTTTAAATCGAAAAAACAGAATTAACAGTGATGACGAGGGTGAACCAGCAGCAGAAGGCCAAAATGTAGAAACTGCATGGAGCGGGGAAGAATTTGATCCGAACCGACCGTCAACTTCAAAACTCGGCCAAAGCCCAGAGGAAGAGGCCAGCCTGGAATATTCTATTTATTCTCAAGCCACAGTGTGCGATAGCGATTCTGAATCGGAGTCTGACATCTTTGTCAATGGGGAAGAGAAACCCAAGAAGATAGACTGGAAAAGGACCAAAATTAGTTTAAGCGATGATGAAGAATTAGCAGAAAACAAAGAAATCAGCGGTGTCGATTGCTTGGAGGACGTTGGCAAAAGTAAACAAGAACCTGCTGTTAAAAACGATGAAAAACAAACAAATGGAGAAGAAATAAATATTGATGGCTGTAGTGTTATTATTGATGTTGAATCAGATGATTCAAGTATAGATTCAATTTTCAATTCATCAAAAGTGAGCGCTGGTAGCATCTCACCAATGAAGACCAGATTGAAAAGGAAGCAGGAAGGAACGCCAAAAAATGATGGAAGCCCGGATAAAGAAAAGACACCCAGTGCAAAAAGCAGGAAAAGGCGGATGAAATCAAAATCACCAGGCTGCACCGTAAAACTGCAAGATGTCTTTGATCGATGCTTCGAACAATATTCAGGTATTTTTTTTTAAATAAATGTCATTTAAACGCTACAAAAATTTTGGTCACATCGTTAGTAATAGCGACACTTTATTCACATTTTTCTTGAATGCAACTGGGTTATTTGATCACAGCGCTTGATTAAAATCATATTTAAAGTCCACAATTTCTGCCCTTTGACTTTATTTTAGCGACTTTTGATGAATGAGTGTTTTTAAACATCTAATCAAACATGTGCTACATAATCACCTGTTGAATTTTGATATATCAATAAATATTATCGGTAAGTTGTTTAGAAATTTAACATATGTGAATTTTTATACATATCTGCAAATAAGTTATCATTAGCGTATAAATAATTAGTAAAGATAACATATTTATTAGAATAAATAATTTTAACTATAGAATAACTGGGAAATTAAAATTATTTCAATGTAATGGCTTTATTAAATTACCAAAATAATGAGACTTTGCTTGAACAATACAGTAATTTTATTTTAATTAACAATTAACTGCTACAAGATTTTGCGTTTTAATTAACAGAGGCCATCTCCATGAAGAGCTGGATTGGATATTTGGAAAAGGGCAATAAATTTGGATAATCATTCTTAGAGCCATGTGATAATTATGAAAGTATGAAAAACTAAATGTTTATTTTTTATGATAAATTTCAGCATTTATTTATTTTTTATTGATAACATGAAATAGTGCAAGCAGAACACAGTGCAATTACAAATATTAATCTTTATTTTGATTTAGTTTTTCCTTGGAATGTTTTTGAAATTTTTTGCCAGAGAGATTAACAAACTGCCAAGTCTCGAGATACGACTGATTAAACTGTTCATTTCACAAATCAATAGTTTTACAATTCAGTAGTTTATTTCACAAATGATTTTGGTGATTTTATTTCAGGCGATAAAGTGGATGACAATCTCACATCCCCAGAGATCAGTGATGATTCGTCAATGATTCAAAACTTGCTTGAACGCGCTTCTGAGCCTGATTATAAAACTCCAAAACGGTTGACGAGACAGCGTGCTGCTCAAAGCGAAGTGAAACCTGCTCGGAAAAGTTTGTCAACGCGTAAAAGATTGAAAAGGGATCTTTCTCCGGAATTTTAAAATTGTGAATAATATTGTGTATATGTATAAACGTAGTTACAAATAGAATCGTTTTCACTAGGCTTAGAAATAAAATGAGCATGGCTATTTTTTTAAGAGGATTCCTTCGAAAAATATTAGTTTATTTCTTTGTACAATTTAATTTCAATTAATCCATAATTTGATTTAGTTTATATTTATTTGTTTTTTAATTTATAAAATAAAAAATGCATTGGTAAATAATTATTGCAGTTGCTTTAATTGAATACCTTTTTTTAAACATTTTTTTTATTTTAATGGCCTTTCATATTAGCCACAGTACGTTTGTTGATATATAGTTTCTTGGCAGAGAGGGAGAACAAAAGAACATTCCTGGGGGGGGGGAATGGTGGGACCATGGTGGTCTACGAGCGGAGAGTGAGAGTTAACTTTACTAAGATTAACCTCTCACCTACTGAGATCCAGAATTTTAACATGTTCCAGTAACAAATTAATTGCTGGTACAAATATAAGGTTTTTAATTTTTTTTAAACTTTATTGTGTTCATACATTCTGCTTATTAGAAAGTTCTATTGTGATGGAACCAAAAATTCATGCTCCTCTGTTAACTGGTTGACTGATTAGTGGAGCTTTGAATTCCCACCCTATTTATTTAGTCTGGAATTGTCTAAAAGGGAGTGGGACAGTGGGCTTCAAAATGTAACAAAATGCTCAAAAGATTGACCAACAAATAAAAAAACTTCAATGCTGGTCTTCTGACTACATCTGGCTGCGACTATAGACAGCTTACTCATCCAACATGAGCTCTTATATTGGGACAGACAATAATAAAAAGAAAAATGGCAAAAAGGAGGGAAAATTTGAGAGGTGAGGTTGAGATGGGGAGTTGTGTCCGAGTGGATCAATGTCACGATAGCTCAAGTGGTAGAGCAGCGACGTATTTAGCTGAAGGTTGTGGGTTCAAATCCTGCTTGTGGCACTGATTTTTTTTATCTCAACCAAAACCTTAATTAATTGAAAAAAGAAAATTAGTTTGATGGTTTTCTTGTTCCTGAAAAAAAATCCAAGAAATATAAAAAGCCAACAGCCATAAAAGAAGAGAAAAAACATCAAAAATGCACCAAGACCTTCACATCCTAGAGGAGCAGAAATCTGCAAAAAGTTAGAATTTGCTTGAAAATGGTGATCCAAACAGCATTATGTAGGGATATCTCATCATGCTGACAGTCCAAAAAATGGTGCTGAGAAAATACTCTACTAAGCTTCAACCGATCTTGGATGACCTGAACATTTAAAAATAGTAGCTAGCATAATAGGACCACAAGAAGACTAAAAAGGAGTGGCACAATGATCTGTCCGTACTGTTTTGGTATGTAATATTCTCACCATCTTCACCGTTGGATTAAGTAAATATAACCAATTATAAATGAGACTTTTGTTAAATCAGACAATACTTGAAATGGGTTCGATAAGAAAAGTACAAATGGAAAAGTAAAATATTTGAGCATGGGTTAAAAAAGCAAAAAAACTCAATTTTCAAAAGTAAAACTTTATTTGAACTAAAGGTTTTTTTTACTAGTAATACTATTGATTTACACGAATAAATAAAATTATATTGTATACATAATATTTATTGGTTAAGATAAGGAATTTATTTTAACCAAATCAAATCTTGAAGATAGCAGGAAGCCGAAATGATTCTGACAGATCAAAATGACTGGAAATTTCCAAACTAGAATTCCAAAAAAATATCACAATACTTTTTAGTTATACTGCGGATTGTTTTCAAGATTTAAAAGGCTTCATGTTTTGTACAGACATTTAGTGACTTTTTTTCAGACTTGAGTGTTTTAGGTATGAAAGCACATATCCTCATTCCGGCTGGTTGCCACTTATGACTGTTTATAACTCACAAATTACTGCGTATAGCAGATTTGAAGGAAACAGAAAATGACAGTTTTTTTAAATTTGGGACTGGCCCCCCGACCACTAGTTCCGACAATTTGTTCTAAAGTGGAAAATTTACAGATAACCTGTTTATTTGACTACTGAATTGTACGGTGACGTTTATGATAGTATGGCCATTTTACAATCAGACCAGAAAATCGGAAGTGTGCTACCAGCTAAACTTTGACTCACAACTTCTGCCACATTTAAAATCCATTCAAGTCTTAGCAGAATTATTTTTGTTTGAATCAAAAATATCAAGGATTTGACTTGTTAATAAGGATATAAATAAAAATACCTTTGATTAATTCATTATTAATTTAAATAATTGTTGTTTTTAGTACAAATGCCAGTTATACTTCCTGTCTTTAATTTAATTTAACAAATAATTTAATAGGTTTTTCTCTTTGAAGCTATTTCTTTCTATTAAAATATTATGATAATATCTAATACTATTTAAGATTATACATGTAATATATGTTATATTTATTGTTTATATATAATTTTCTGATGTATAAATCACAATATGATTATAAACATTTCTTCTCTTTATAATTCAATCGTCTCTTAATTAAAGATAAATTTAAATGTCCTCATAATTGATAAGGCAAGTAGAATACAACAATTTTTCTATTAACGTCCTTTTGACAGTTGGAGACATCGATAAAGGGTGAAAATAACACTTTTGCAAAAGTAAGAACAATTTGAACGTAACAACCCTGTCATTTGAATTACACATTGTTTTAAATGCTCATCGTGTTTATAAAATATAGAAAATCATTCCTGTCTTGTTTTTTTTTATTAATATAAATATTATTGAATAATTAACAACTGTTCCAAGGGAACTTGTTTATATTTTTACTTTTTGAAAATCAAGTTTGTTGTTGAACTTAGACTGAAATTAATCATATCTGAGTATATACTGAAAGATTAAAATGCCCTCAATTTCTGAGTGCAAATAACATTAACATAAATAATAAATATAATCAAAATCAGTGCTATTTTTGTTTTAAATATAAGCTACTGTTTCTATAATAATAAACCGTTCAAATTTTATATTTATATTTTTTATTCCTCCATAAAAAACTATATTGCTATAGGACGAAAGCACAATCAATATATATATATAATTTTTCTTTTTTGGTAACATTTAACCCTAATTTTACTATGGTTACACACTTAACTCACTATGATTTTTTTAAAAATAGTTTTTATTTAGATTTTACATATTCTTTTTGATTACAAAAACGACTACATTTGGTTTCAATTTTTTGTTGAATTTCACTTGAAGCAGGCTAAGAAATGCAATTCAGCTAGTAGCTTAAAGTACTTATCTAAAATAGTACTTTTATTTATGGGAAAAGATCCAGTTTAAATCGCCTATCTTTATATGCAAATACAGCAATTGAATAGAACAAAAAATATTTGTAAATATACTGAAAAACTACTCTATATCTTTGAAATTGTCCTCTTTGTTTTAAAGTTTAAATAGGCCATAGTCAACTTTCATACGCTACAATTTCTTTGATATTAAATGTCAATCAGTCTTTTGGGTTCTAAAAAATTTCATGGTAATAATTTATATATACTTCATTTAGATAGCAATAGATTATTCCAAACAATGGTAAGCACTTTCAACCAAAATATAAATGCACAATTTTTAATATACATTTTAATAAATTATTAATGATATAAAAGTTAAGTTTTTCTGACTGGAGTCGTAGTGTAAGTAGTCTGGAACAAAAGAGGAAATTCTTTAGAAACACCAAATTCACACGCTCAGTAAAAAAAGAAATAAATAAAATAAAATATACAAATCTATAAAGCATTTACAAATATATATTGAATATAATACATAAAGTAGTTATTAAATAAGTTCAAATCTACAATTTAATAGAATTCACAAGAATAGAAAAAATATTTATTTATTAGATTTACATATTTCCTAAGGATATCTTGTTCAAACATTTTAATTAGTTAAATATATTGTAACAGATTAGATAAATATTTTAGTCGACTGGTAATTTACCTGGATGAGCCTCTCTATTTTGATTTCCTTAAAAGTGTTAAAGATATGCTCCCCCGGATCTTTCTCAACAAATCGATGACATCGGTTGTCTCCATATTTTCAATGCTTTCATCATTTACCTGGGAAAAAACATGGAAATAAAAGTTTTTGCTATATTTTAAATTATATTGATTAAGGTTTTTAGTTGAGATAAAAAAGTCAATGGCACGAGTGGGATTCGAACACACAATCTTCGGCTAGATACACCGCTGCTCTGTCACTTGAGCTATCGTGATCTCGATCCACTCGGACAGCAACTTCCCATCTGAACCGCACCTTTTGAATTTTCCCTCCTTTTTGCCATTTTTCAAAAGGTGCGGTTCAGATGGGAAGTTGCTGTCCGAGTGGATCGAGATCACAATAGCTCAAGTGGTAGAGCAGCGGCGTATCAGGCCGAAGATCGTGGTTCGAATCCCGCTCGTGCCATTGACTTTTTTATCTTAACTAAAACCTTAATTAATTATAATATATTAATTGGTCAAGCGGACCACAAAATTAGTGAATCTATTTGTTAAACTTGACAGGGATCAATTTTGAAACTGGGAATGCTTACATTGATGAGCCTGTCGCCAATTCTTAAGCGACCGTCCCTTGAGGCGACACTGTCTGGGTAGATGGCACTTATGACAGATCCGCCGTTTTCACTGCTTTGCAGGCTAAAACCGAGCCGGCTATTCCATCCCCGATTCAGTTCGACGAGCACCACTTGGTACTCCGGTGCTTCGGGAAGTTCTTCTGGTCCTTGACTAGTTATACTTTCTGTATGGGCGAGTTCGACTGAACAGGTGTCTGATTCGTCTGACTTGAAAAGTACACCTTTCCATTTCAGTAGGCTCTTTGTTCCTTCAACCGCTCTTGGGATGTCCTGTTCTGAGCAACCACTTTCAGTGATTTCCTTTAAAAAACATAAAAAATATATTTTAATAAAGGTAAATAATTTCAAAAATGTATTTAAATAAATACAGACTTGTGATGCTAGAGGTTTGGTGACAGGTGGATTTGCTGATCTGTAAGCTGGATTTCTGTAAGAGAAACCTGTCTCGGAATCATTGTCACATGTGCCCATAGGAGGCATGCTAACGGGTTCAGAAGGTGGAGGTTCATTTCCACTTAGTCCAGTCGATACTAGTTCTTCCTCTTAATGAAAAAAAGAAATGTAATAATTTACAGTCAATACATTTTTCATAAATAAATATTTAATGCGTTTAAAAACTTACCGGATGACTGAGTAGCCAAATTGGGTGAAAATTTACAACTGGTCTTTACATTGTCATATACTGAAAGTTGTTCTGTCTGTTTTAAATGCTCATCCTCTCCACTCTCAAAGCTCTCTGCACTATCTGTAAATCATAATTAACACAAGTTTTTAAATAAAACATAAGAATTGTTTTAAAAAGATTGTTTACCAGCAGGAGGTGGTGTTCTTGTCAGTCTTCGTTTTCTTGGTGAAGAGCCTTTGCTCGACCCGGAAGAGTCCGGAGGCGATTGAGATTTCTTGACAGCCAGCTCGCACAGCATGTCCTGGGCTTCTTTCCTGCAAAAAACAAAATAAAACATTTCTCTAGAAAAATCGCATAAAATTCGAGTCAAAATCACTTTTTAATTCGGGACCGAAAAGACCTCAGTAATCTTCTTACACTCATTTTTGTTGATTTATGAGTGGAAAACACCGAATGACACAGCCTACAGCTTGTGCCACAAACAATAACCTTATCTTCACTCTAGGACTTGGAAAAGTAATCAAATTCCTTTCGTATGAGTAAGAATCCGTTTCAAGTTAAACACCAATAATTTCAAGATCTTTCTGTTTTACTATTATTGATTATTTTATAAATTATTGTCACAATTATTAAAATTGTAATGAAAGACTAATTACTTGTAAAAATAAGAGGGGTAAAGTCATAATTTCTATAGAATAATTATGACAGTATGGATTAAAATTAGCAGAAAATGCATATAAAATGTAGTTATAAGTAAGAATATGATTAAAGTTATACTAGTAATAAAAATCATAATTTGCTAACTAGACAGTTTATATGACAAGTTTACTGTTCCTTGGAGTTTTACTTAGGTAAAATATAATTGTATAAGTTTAGTGTGAAAAAAAGTAATTCATAAAATTGTGTAAATGTACCTTAAAATAGGTTTGAAAGTCCTATGGGAATGGGTTGGTGAATGGCTCGGAATTGGCGTTTGCATCGAATCCCTGTAGAGCCTTAGCCGGACGAGATCACCGCATTTCCTCAAAAATGCGACAGCTTCTTCATGCGTTAGGTTCGACATTTCTACATCGTTGACCTGCAATTTACAAAATTAAATCCTAGTACGTTATCAAAAGAATGAATAACTTTTCAACGTACGGCGACGATCTTGTCACCAGGTCTTAGCCTCAGATCAGACAATGCAGGCTCCCTCACCAAAGCCCTAACGTAGTGGCCTAACACGCTTTGGTCTTCCTTCCTCAACGTAAATCCAAGTGATCCGTTGACTTTTTCCATCACAATTTCAAATTCCTATAAACACAATTTTATTTTTAACCAAATGAAAGAAACTAATATATTAATTAAACACATTATTATAATAGATAAAAGATATATTAGTTTGGTTATTGTGGTTTAATAGACCAAAATACGGTCTGTAGTTTTAAGTTTGTATAACAGTTACAGTTGTATCATTTTGATTTAATACATAAAAAAAGTAAACTCGTTACAAAGGCCTGTTATAAGTGACAAAATTCATCATATGCACAGATATTTAAACATTTTAAAGCTTATTTTGGAGAAAAATGATTTTTTAATGAGATTATTAACAAATGGAATTCCAAAAACTATTATGTTGTTTAACATTTCAGTGAAGTTTGCAATGTGAAGAACATACTGCTTGATCTCACTGAATTTTTCAATTAGACCCACCATCTTTGTTGGTTGGAATGTATTTGTTATTTTGTATTTATGATAGGAATGACAAGGTGTATTGAAGAATATTGTACCCCGTAGTTTTCTTGCATCATAGGCGTGGGCGTATCTCTTGGTGGAGGTGGAGGAGCAACCGTCTCAACAGGGGGTATGACGGGTTCCGGTGGCCGGCACACAGTCAGTTTCACCTCGGAAGGGGATGACCTGAGCACTTCCAATGCTTCCTGCAATTTGAAAATTTGAAATATCAGAGAAGCAGTTGTTTCAAAATCGACTACCAAGGCTTACATAGTTGGTGAGGCCGAGGAGGGGCACACTGCTGGCTGCCAGGAGGATGTCACCTGGGCTAAGAAGCCCAGAATGGGACGCTGGCTGATGAGGGAACAGTCTTTTTATCCTGATCAGACCAGGCCATGGTTCTCCCCCACATACGCTTAAACCGAGACCTCCGGTGCCTTTCCGGACGATGACGCTAAAAACTGAATCTGAAAAAAAAAGAATACAATTAAAAATAGACTTTTTTGCGTTTTAGATTTAAAAAATAAAGGAAGTATTTTGAATGTGTAAAAGTACAACAGTGAGTACTTTAATGTGTGGTGTTTAGTGACCATTAGTCAATGATTATTCGGAGATGGTGAGATGCGGTCTGGTGTGACGTAGTTTTAGAAAAACATTTTCTTTATCGTGCCAACGTTTCGATCTTTATTGAGATCATCTTCAGGGCTCAAAGTGTTTTTTCTGTGTAGATGTGTCATATTTCGTCGTCGGCACTCTCAACACGACACACAAGAATGACACATCTACACAGAAAAAACACTTTGAGCCCTGAAGATGATCTCAATAAAGATCGAAACGTTGGCACGATAAAGAAAATGTTTTTCTAAAACCTACGTCACACCAGATCTCACGATCTACGAATAAACTTTAATTAATCCCCAAAAATGGTATATTTGAACAAATTTATGGTGTTAAATAAAAATATCGCTCACAATGAAATTACCAAATTATCTTAGAGGACCGTGGTTAAACGCATTGAAAAAATAGTCGGATATATTATATTTTTTCTCTCAGACTTATTTTATCCTGAAAGTTGAACTTTGGTAAATGCATTAGCTATGATTGCATTATTTATTAAAGAAAGACGAACAATGAAGCTTTTCTGATTTGCTAATCAATCTTTGACTGGTGGACACAGGTGGCGGAGGTCGGCGTGCTCCCCGTGCCGGCAGTAAAACAAATTAACTGGGCTATTACAGTTTTAAGGCAGGATTTACGGGGCCGTTAATGTAGAGCCGCTGACGAACATTAGGAAAATGTACTCCCATGGCAGACAATAATTATCCTTCATCCCGATGATTACTAGCACGAGTTTGGATTTAATTTGAACGAAACTTGGGACGTAAACGCTAAAAGCAAATAGAAAAATAAATAAAACTGCATCGTTACGAGTAAAATTCGCCCGTATGATCACATCAGTTAATAAAACGTTGCCATGCATAACTCAAAAACGTGTCGTAAAACAATGAATATTACTTCAGTCCATTACTTTAATATTAATGAAGTTCAAACTTCTGGAGCAAGGTTACAGAAATTTTCTAAAACTTATTAAACTCATGATTATACAAATAAAGGGTTTAATTCAATTACAATATAATACAATAAGAAAAAAAATATTTTGAAGATAAAAAAGGACACAAATGGTGCGGATGTGTAAAATAAATATATTTGCCAGAAGTGAATAATATTTCATTTTGGAGAGATCCCCTTGAAAATTTGCCTATTTCAATAGACCATCTGTATACATATAATTTTTTGCTTTACCTAATTCAAAAGTATATTATATTGAAATTATATCCTTTTAAAATGTATATCTTCTGAAATTATAATTTTTTAGAATAAAACTTTTCCCGAAGAATTATTTCGAAATTATGTTTTCTGGGTATAAAATTTTTGTGAATTTTTATTCTTTAACAACTATTTATTTTTTAAATTACGATATTTTGTAATATGAGATGGTAATTCTTGCATGTATTGAAGAAATCATTTCTTGTATGTATGGGAGAAATAGATATTGATTTATTAGATATTGTCGACGGTAAATTGAAGTGAATAAATGTGATACATAAAGTAGGAAAAATATATACCTAAATAGAAAATAAAGAGAGAAAGGAGAGAAAAGTGAGAGGGGTACTAGAAAGAGAGAGAGGAAGAGGGAGAAGGGTACTAGAGAAAGTCAGAGGAAACGAGAGAAGAAGTGGGAGAGGGAGAGGGAGAGGGAGTGGGAGAGGGAGAGAGAGAGAGAGAGAGAGAGAGAGAGAGAGAGAGAGAGAGAGAGAGAGGAAGAAAGATTTATGCATTTATTTATTTACGTTATTCGCTGATTCCTATTTCCACTCTCTCTCTCTCTCTCTTTCTAGCCCTCTTTATCTATCTATCTCGCCTCTATTTCATTCTCTCTCTATCTATTTATCTATCTCTATTATCCCTCTCTCTTTTCTCTACTTTCTCCTTCTCTATCTATATTTCTATCGATTTGTGTTTTCATGTGTTTTCGTTTGTGTGTGTGTGTGTGTGTGTGTGTGTGTGTGTTCTTGTTAGTTAGAGAAAGAAAGGAATTTGAAGAGGGAAATGAGAAAAAAGGGTCTCTTTTTCATACAATTTTAATGGTACATTTTTCCGAGGTTTTCCCCTGAGTTTCACCGAATTTATTATAGCAAAAAACTCATTGGCTTTGCCACAACATGAAGGACTTTTAAGGTAAACTGTTGTGATTATAGATTTCCTAATTTATATTGACCATTAACGAAAGGTGTAAAATGACCCACTCATCGATCCGAGGTATTTAAATATGATTAATCAATAGATGGTAGAGATCCGAGTGGGATTTGAAAATCTAATGGTCCAGTTATGGGTTTGTGATGAGGGTCATATCCTCCAGTACGGGAAACGTCCCTCGCCCCAGGAGCGGAATTATCTCGTTACAGGATGATGAATGCGGGCCTCGCCTACACAGATAACCTGGAAAAATCCAACTCTGACGTTTAAAATCACTGGAGCCATTAAATATAATTATGCCGCCCAAACTCATCAGTTAATCAAAAGGGATCAACACGAAAATAAAGAATAACCCTTTAGCAAAGGAATAAAAGTTTAGTTCAATTTTTACAAGAAATAAGACAACATATACAAGTCTAAATGTTGTATTGGATTGTTTGAGTTGTGAAACATCAAAGATGTATAGAATTATCGGTCCGGTCCAGTCATTTTGGTTGTTCAAAATTTAGTCGATTGGTTTTCCAAATTTATCTCCAGAATAGAAAGCCTTTAATGCCAAATATAAGTTTTATTACCTTTTCAGAATTTATGCACATGCAAGAATGGGCAAAATGGAAAGAATGTTAGTCAAACTAAGTGCTTGCAAGAATTTATATCAGCAACATCAAACAACCAGAGAACAGGAAGAGCAGGCTGGTAGACTCCGCGGTCGTGGGTTCGATTCCCACCGTCGTCTCTGGCCTTTTTTCACGTTACACCCCCCCCACTCCTACGAAGGCCATATACATATTTTATTAGAGAATTTTAATAAATTGAAGTATAAAATCTACTAGTTTAGTTTAAATGTTTTCAGCATGGTAATATATCGGTTGTCCGGAAAATAATGCAGGATTTTAAGTTTTCATTAAAAAAAATCTATATAAAATATTCTGTTTACGTTTACAGGATTACTCATTTGTANATTAATAAGTTACCAACACGTTGGGAGAAATGTATTGAGAGTATGGGAAATTATTTTGATTAAAGAACATTGCTTTAAAGTAACTAGTTTCTTTTGTTTTGTTTAATACCAAAATCCTGCATTATTTTCCGGACAACCCAATATTATTATCGGATATCAGTGAATGTTTTGTCAAAACTTTTAGGGGTCTGAACACATTCTGTCGGTAAAAAGGGCTTATTCTTGGCCGCTAACAAAACTCATGTTCGCTTTTTGTAAATGATGGTTTTACTCACAGAATTAGTTGTTTTCAACGATCCGGATTTCGAGCATTAAATGCTCATCGTCAGTTTGAAGGAGTAAGAATGTCCCTCGACATGAATTGTAAAAGCGAATCCTGGTTTTAATTTCAATTTTGAACGTGCGAAAAACGAGAATGCGCTAAACTAATAAAAACTTATGGGTAACTCTTTTAACGAATAAAAAATGAATATAATAGACCTCTTAAATATATGCCCACTAACTAATTATTGTAAATTCAATAATAAATTTTATGAAAGGAAAGGGTTACCAATGGGGTCTCCATTATCCCCACTTTGTGCCAAAATATTCATGCATAACTTTGACAAAAATCTTTGCAAATCAAATAACAAATTAAATATATCTGTTATTTTTTGGAAACGTTTTGTAGACGATATTTAAAGTATATGGTCGGGAATACTAGAGGATCTAAAAGAATTCTTCCAACTAATTAATTCTTTACACCGTAATAAAAATTTTACATCGGAAAATAATAAATATGGTTTTTAAACTTTTTAGACGTAAAACTGTCCATATTAAAAAAACCTAATTGAAATAGACGGATATAGAAACCCCACAACAACAGAAACCATGATACCAGCGGATTCTTCTCACCCATGGACCCAAAAAGCTGCTGGTTTCATTTGGCTTATGTTGAAACTCCCATTAGCACTACCTAGTCATAAAAAATAATTACAAACAATTAAAACTTTGGCAAAAAAACAGTGGATATCAAGAAATATTTATCTCAGGGGGACCGCGGTAGCTGAGTGGTTAGCATGAGAGACTCTCACGCCGCGGTCGTGGGTTCGATTCCCACCGTCGCCTCTGGCCCTTTTTTCCCGATAACCCCCAATTTGAACAACATATATAAGAGATTCGTCATGGCTAATATGCAAAGATCATAAGGCCAATTAAAAAAAAAAAAAAATATTTATCGATAGGTTGCTAGTAAGATCAATAAAAAAATTTAATTAGGTTTTATGGCTAGTCATGCATTGATGAACTATCAGAAAAAGTAGGTAAAATTCTTAATCGGTAAGGTTTTTGGAATAGCTTGAGGTGCGCATTCACTTAGATACAACCTCTCAAAACCTAAGGAAAACGTGTCAAAAAGCGGGGTTTACAAAGTAAATTGTAATCATCGTGATAAAATATATAAGAAAAATTGGCAGAGAAATTACAACGAGAGTTACAGAACACTTGTCTAAATGGAACCAATTTTCTGAATTTGAGGACCATCTAAATGAAACAAAACACAATTTAAATTTAAATTTAAATACAGCAGTGCTACAGTTCCAACAAAGGGAGAGAACTAGATTGTTTAGAAAAATTTCTAAATAAAAAAATGTAAAATTAAACATGGAGATAAATGCATAAATAATATAATAGTTTTTGATTTACCTCCTATTTTAAAAAATGTGCCTTAATAATAATGGACAAACAAATTACTCTCTCGCCCTCTATCAC